GGGGGGGGCCTCGAGGGGGTCACTGGAGCCGCCTTCGCCCAGGTCAGGGGGGGCCTGACCCCAATTTGGGGGGGCCTGTCCTCGTTTTGGGGGTCCTGACCCCCTCCTGGGGGGTCTTGGGGTTATTTTGGGGGGTCCTGTCTTCATTTTGGGGGTCCTGGGGCCATTCTGGGGGTCCTGACCCCATTTTGGGTGGGTTTGGGGTCATTTTGGGGGGTCCTGAGCCTATTTTGGGGGGTCCTGTCCTCATTTTGGGCCATTCTGGGGGATCTTGGGGTTATTTTGGAGCGTCCTGACTCCCTTTTGGGGGGTCCTGACCCCATTTTGGGGGGTCTTGAAGCCATTTCGGGTGGGTTTGGGGTCATTTGGGGGGGTCCTGATCCCATTTTGGGGAGTTTTGGGGGATCTTGGGGTTATTTTGGGGGGTCCTGACCTCATTTTGGGTGATTTTGGGACCATTTTCTGGTGTCCTGCCCCCATTTCGGGGGGTCTCCCCCTCCCTGCCCCCCCTATTTAGGGTGGGGGTCCCTCCCAAACCCCCCCTGACCCCCCCTGACCCCCCCAAACCCCCCCTGACCCCCCGTTTTTGCCCCCCCAGGTTCTGACGGTGGCGGCCACGGAGCCCCTCACCCTGCACCACTCCCCGCCCCTCCCCCCGCCTTTGGGGACCCCCCCGGACCCCCCCCGAAATTCGGGGACCCCCCAAATCGCCGAAACCCCCCAAAATCCCCCAAATCCGGGAGGTTTTGGGGTGGATTTCCGGAGGGTTTACGAGTTCCTGGCCCGGCTCGGAGGGGGGGGGAACGGACCCCCCCTGAGCCCCCCAGGTGAGACCCCAAATTTTGGGGAGGGGGACCCCAAAATCTGGGGGAAGGGGGGAGGGTTTGGGGAGGGTCCTGGCCTCGATTTGGGGGGTTTTGGGGCCGTTTTGGGGGGTTTTGGGGCCATTTGGGGGGGATTTGGGACTGGTTTGGGGGGGGGTCCTGAGGCCATTTTTGGGAGGGTCTTGCCCCTGTTTTTGGGGGGGTTTGAGGGTCCTGACCCCATTTTTGGGGGTCCTGATTCCAATTTTGGGGGTCCCGACCCCATTTTTGGGGGTCCCACTCCCATTTTGGGGGTCCTGCCCCAGTTTTTGGGGTCTTGCCCCCATTTTTAGGGTCCTGACTCCGTTTTTTGGGGTTCTGATCCTGTTTTTGGGACTCCTGACCCCATTTTGGGGGTTTTGACCCCATTTTGGGGGGTCCTGACTCCATTTTGGGGGGTCCTGACCCCATTTTGGGAGTCCTGCTCCAATTTTTGGGTGTCCCAACCCCATTTCGGGGGGTCTTGACCCCATTTTTGGGGGTCCTGCCCCTTTTTCTGGGGGTCCTGCTCCCATTTTTGGGGGTCCTGACTCCAATTTTGGGGGTCCTGACCCCATTTTTGGAGATCCCGCCCCCATTTTTGGGGGTCCTGACCCCATTTTTGGGGCTCCTGCTCCCATTTTTGGGGGTTCTGACCCCATTTTGGGGAGTCCTGACCCCTTTTTTGGGGGGTCCTGACCCTATTTTGGGGGTTCCACCCCCCTTTCCCCCCCCAGAGGCCGCAGTGGTTGTGTCCTTACTGGGAGCCCTCCCTGCTGAACTGGGAGCACTGGAACAGCTCCGGGGCCTCCAGAGCCACTTCCGGGGGGTCTTCGGGGCCCTGACGACCCCCCAAAACCCGGGGGGGGCCCCCCCAGACCCCCCAAAACACCCCCGGGACCCCAAAACCCCCTGGGCGGGGGTGGGGCTGTGCCCCCTCAACCTCTTCCTGGTGCCACTGGGAGCACTGGGAGCACTGGGACGGGGGGCGTGAGGGGGGACCCCGAACTGGGGGGGACCCCAAAAATTAGGGGGGACCCTAAACATGAGGGAGAGACCCCAAATATTGAGGGGGGACCCCAAGTATTGAGAGGGGGCCCAAATATTGGAGGGGGGACCCCAAAAATGAGGAGAGACCCGAAATATTGAGGGGAGACCCCAAATATTGAGGGGGGGCCCCAAAAATTGAGGGGAGACCCCAAATGTTGGAGGAGACCCCAAATATTAAGGGGGGACCCCAAATATTGAAGGGGGGGGGCAAATATTGAGGGAGGGACCCCAAATATTGAGGAGGGGACCCCAAATGTTGCGGGGGGCCCAAATATTGGAGGGGGGGACCCAAAATATTGAGGGAGGGCCCAAATATAGGAAGGACCCCAAATATTTAGGGGGGGACCCCAAATATTTAGGGGGGGCCCCAAATGTTGCAGGGGGCCCAAATATTGAGGGAGGGCCCAAATATAGGAAGGGCCCCAAATATTGAGGGTGGGACCCCAAATGTCGGGGAGGGATCCCAAAATTTGGGGGGGATCCCAAATCTGGGCGAGGGGGCGGGTCCCAGGTCGCAGGAGGGGACCCCAAATTTGGGTGGGGTCCCCAAATTCCTGGGGGAGACCTCAAATACCTTGGGGGGGGGGGCAGAGGCTGAAATCTGGGGAAGGACCCCGGGTTTTGGGGAGGGAGGAAATAAAAGCTTTGATTTGCCCGAAATTGGGGTGTTTTGAGGTCTTTTGGGCAGTGGGATAAAGGAGGGGGAGGGGAATCGAAACTGGGAGGGACTGGGATGAACTGGGAAGGGACTGGGAGGCACCATCTGAGCTCCCCCCCGGCCTCCCACAGTGGTTTCGTCCACCAGGCCCCGCCCTTTTTGTCACGTGACCCTCTGTTTACCCCCGCCGGCCCCGCCCGCCACGTGACGCGCCCCCTTCCCTGCGCGGTGGCGTCACTCACGTGATTGTGACGTCAGTCACGTGACGGAGCCGCAGCACCGCCGGATCCTTCCGCGCCTCCGCCCCCGGGAACTGGGATGAACTGGGAGCCCTTAGGGAGGGGACTGGGATAAACTGGGAGCCCTTGGGAGGGCACTGGGAGGTACTGGTGTGAACTGGGAGCCCTTAGGAAGGGACTGGTGTGAACTGGGAGCCCTTAGGAAGGGACTGGGATGAACTGGGAGCCCTGAGGAAAGGACTGGGATGAACTGGGAGCTCTTAGGAGGGCACTGGGAGGTACTGGTGTGAACTGGGAGCCTTCAGGAGGGCACTGGGATGAACTGGGACCCCTTAGGGAGGGACTGGGATAAATTGGGAGCTCTTAGGAGGAACTGGGATGAACTGGGAGCTGTTAGGAAGGGACTGGGATGAACTGGGAGCCCTTAGGAAGGGACTGGGATGAACTGGGAGCCCTTAGGAAGGGACTGGGGGGCACTGGGAGCCCTTAGGAGGAAACTGGGATGAACTGGGAGCTCTTAGGAAGGAACTGGGATAAACTGGGAAGCCTTAGGAGGGAACTGGGATGAACTGGGAGCCCTTAGTAAGGGACTGGGATGAACTGGGATAAACTGGGAGCTCTTAGGAAGGGACTGGGATGAACTGGGATAAACTGGGAGCTGTTACAAGGGGGTTTGGGCCCTTCCGCCATTTGCGCAGCGCTGAGGGCAGCGGCGTTAGGAGGGTACTGGGATGGACTGGGAGCCCTCAGGAGGGAACTGGGATGAACTGGGAAGCCTTAGAGGGAAACTGGGATAAACTGGGAAGACTTAGGAGGGAAACTGGGATAAACTGGGAAAGCTCCGCGATCCTTTCGGAAGCCACCGGGGCCCTTCCGCCATTTGCGTAGCGCTGAGGGCAGCGGCGTTAGGAGGGAACTGGGAGCTACTGGGAGCCCTTAGGAGGGAACTGGGATAAACTGGGAGCCCTTAGGAAGGGACTGGAAGGTACTGGGGTGAACTGGGAGGTACCGGGATGAACTGGGAGCCCTCAGAAGCCACCGGGGCCCTTCCGCCATTTGCGTAGCGCTGAGGGCAGGGCCCTTTGCGCCATTTGCGTAACTTACGCAACTTCCGTAACTCCCCTCCATTGCCATTAACAGTCTCCCCTTACGCAATTTGCGTAACTCCGCCCCTTTACGCACTTTACGTAGCGCCCTCCCCATTGGCTGCCGCTGTTCCGCCTTACGCCGTTTGCGTATCTCTGCGCCGTTTGCGCAGCGCTGAGGGCGGCGGCGTTAGGAGGGCGCTGGGATGGACTGGGAGCTTTTAGGAAGGAACTGGGATGAACTGGGAGCCCTTAGAAGGAACTGGGATAAACTGGGAGCCCTTAGGAGGGAACTGGGATGAACTGAGAGCCCTTTGGAGAGGACTGGGATGATCCGAGAAAGGTCCGCGAGCCCTCAGGAAGCCACCGGGGCCCTTCCGTCATTTGCGTAGCGCTGAGGGCAGCGGCGTTAGGAGGGGACTGGGATGAACTGGGAGCCCTTAGGGAGGGACTGGGATAAACTGGGAAGCGTTAGGAGGGAACTGGGATGGAGTGGGATAAACTGGGAGCCGTTAGAGAGGTACTTGGATAAACTGGGATAAACTGGGAGCTCTTAGGAGGGGACTGGGCCCTTCCGCTATTTGCGTAGCGCTGAGGGCAGGGCCCCTTTACGCCATTTGCGTAACTTACACAACTTACGCAACCTCCCTCCGTTACCATTAATAGCGCTCCCCTTACGCAATTTGCGTAACTCCGCCCCTTTACGCCATTTGCGTAGCGTCCTCCCCATTGGCCGCCGCAGTTCCGCCTTACGCCATTTGCGTATCCCTGCGCCGTTTGCGCAGGCGCTGAGGGCGGGGGCGGGCCCGTATCCCTGCGCCGCCGCCGCCGCCGCCGAAGCCGCCGAAGCGTCTCCGGTCCCGGCCCGGTCCCGGTCCCGGTTCGGCCCCGACCAGGCCCCGGCGCCGGCCCCGACCCGGCCATGAAGTTCCTGTACAAGGAGGAGCACCCGTTCGAGAAGCGCCGCTGCGAGGGCGAGAAGATCCGCAAGAAGTACCCGGACCGAGTCCCGGTGAGGGCGGGGCGGGGAGAGCGACCCCCCCCC